CCTGATGGACAGAGCACCTGATGGACAGAGCACCTGATGGACAGAGCACATGATGGACAGAGCACCTGATGGACAGAGCGCCTGATGGACAGAGCGCCTGATGGACAGAGCACATGATGAACAGAGCACCTGATGGACAGAGCGCGTGATGGACAGAGCACGTGATGGACAGAGCACCTGATGGACAGAGCGCCTGATGGACAGAGCGCCTGATGGACAGAGCACCTGATGGACAGAGCACCTGATGGACAGAGCGCATGATGGACAGAGCGCGTGATGGACAGAGCACGTGATGGACAGAGCGCCTGATGGACAGAGCGCCTGATGGACAGAGCACCTGATGGACAGAGCGCGTGATGGACAGAGCGCGTGATGGACAGAGCACGTGATGGACAGAGCACCTGATGGACAGAGCACGTGATGGACAGAGCACCTGATGGACAGAGCGCCTGATGGACAGAGCACGAGATGGACAGAGCGCCTGATGGACAGAGCACCTGATGGACAGAGCACCTGATGGACAGAGGACCTGATGGACAGAGCACCTGATGGACAGAGCGCCTGATGGACAGAGCACCTGATGGACAGAGCGCCTGATGGACAGAGCACCTGATGGACAGAGCACGTGATGGACAGAGCACGTGATGGACAGAGCACCTGATGGACAGAGCACCTGACGGACAGAGCGCCTGACGGACAGAGCGCCTGATGGACAGAGCGCCTGACGGACAGAGCACGTGATGGACAGAGTGCCTGACGGACAGAGCGCGTGATGGACAGAGCGCCTGATGGACAGAGCGCCTGATGGACAGAGCGCCTGATGGACAGAGCACGTGATGGACAGAGCGCCTGATGGACAGAGCGCCTGATGGACAGAGCACCTGATGGACAGAGCACGTGATGGACAGAGCACCAGATGGACAGAGCAGGACGGGATGATCAGGGCTGAATACCAGGCCTCGGTCTCCTTCCTGCCTCCACTTCTTGCCCCAGCCACGGGAACAATGAGCAAGGTGACTCCAAAGGCCTAAACCACATTTTGGGTGAAAATGAAGTAGCTTTCAAAGTCACACTGAACACCATTTCCTTATCAATGTCTCCCTACATGTACAAAGATATGTACAAAGATATGGATTTTATATAAATATAAATAACACAGATATATATTACAGGCCGGGCGCGGTGGCTCACGCCTATAATCCTAGCACTCTGGGAGGCCGAGGCGGGCGGATTGCTCAAGGTCAGGAGTTCAAAACCAGCCTAAGCAAGACCCTGTCTCTACTAAAAATAGAAAGAAATTAATTGGACAACTAAAAATATATATAGAAAAAATGAGCCGGGCATGGTGGCGCATGCCTGTAGTCCCAGCTACTCGGGAGGCTGAGGCAGGAGGATTGCTTGAGCCCAGGAGTCTGAGGTTGCTGTGAGCGAGGCTGACGCCACGGCACTCACTCTAGCCTGGGCAACAAAGCGAGACTCTGTCTCCAAAAAAAAGAAAAGAAAATACACTGGCAATACAGCTACTTAATGACCCCTGAGTACTTACATGTTCATCTTCCCTTCATAAGTAACTCGTTTAAAACCCACAGAGTTTCGGGCACTGGGAAAACACAATCAAGCCATTTAAGAGCTATAAATAACTCTTAATTTCCGCTTACCCTGTGTAGCAGTGGGGAGGGGCGGTGTCTTACTACGCATGACACTATTACCACTTTCTCTAGAACTCTCTACGGTGGGTGCTCACCTCCTGAGCCGTCAAAGCACGTGCTCGGCGGATTTTGCCTGCATTAGATTTGTTCCCCTGCCAAGTGAAGCACCTATGGGTGACTCCCTAGCAAATTCTTCAGGGTGAGGGCAGCCAAGAGGCGCCATTTTGCTTGTTCATGCACGTGACCATTGCTTCTTGTGCAACTATGTAATATGTAGATCAAGCACTTCGTAGGCGGCGGCCAACACAGCAGTGAGCAAGATGGACAAAGGCCCCGTCCACCGTGAACCTGGCACAGGGCACTGCGAATGAAGGAGAGAAATGCAGGTGTGCAGTGACAGGCAGGAGCGAAACAGGGGCACTGAGCCCAGTCTGGAGCTGACTGTAAGTCGGTGTGGCTGGAACTCAGCAGGGTAGGGGAGAGGGGTTCTCAGGGGCCGCCACCCCTACTCAAGAAGCCCCCTAATAAATGTCGCAGGAACGGCAAACGCCGTCAGTAGCTTCAATCTCAGGAGGTGAAACCGACCACTGCAACACGTTTCCAGGAACCTTCCAGTATCTTCCTTGCAATAGATCACCCCCCCCCCCGGCATCTCTTTGCCAGTGTCGGGAATGACGGCCAGTTCTCCTAACCGTCCGCTGAATCGTGGCCCTTTCTGTCTCATCCCGAGGTTTAGTCCCAGGTCTAGATCCTGGCCCCTCTCCCGGCTTGAATCTTTTGCTTTCCAAGGGAGCCTTTACGCCCATTTCCAAATAAGCACCGCCCTTCCCTCATGTAAACACCTGTGTTGTTTTTGTTTTAAAGTCTCATTCAGCTTTACCCTTCTGTGCCCTGCCTACTGTCGCCACCGCACGTCTAGAGACAAGAGTCAATCAAAAGAAAAAATAAAGTCAGAAGGAAAAGACTGTGAAATCTACTGTTTGATGGGCGTACTGCTGCCCAACTATATCAGAGGATGTACTCTAAGCATCACGAGCCCCGGGCCAAGGAACACACACGTGTGCGTGCAACCTGGGGTTAGCAAGGTGGCCCCTCTGCGTAATGAAGGAAGGGAAAAGGAGCCAGTAAGTTCTCCCAGCGCAGCTGGGGGACAAGGACGCATGCCTAGGCAGACACGGAATCTGGACCGTGAGCTGGACCAAGGGCAGACAGCAGCGCTCTGAGGCTCAAACAGACCCGGCCCCTCCGCAGCTCTGAGGACAATGATTCTGTCTTTGAACCCAAGGGGTATCATCCCTGAATTGGCACACTTTAAGCTGTTCTCGGTGAAGTGTCACCTTCTGCGCCATCAATATTCATCTCAAATGCCCGTTAGCCACGAAAGGGCAGCAGTGAGTTAAGCAATGCGTGTAATTAATGACAGCGGGATGTGGCCTTCGGGGGCGCTGTGATAAGCACTTTCACACATCACTGCCCTGGGTCCCCACACGGGAGTGGACATCACCCCCATTTTACAGACGCAACACTGAGGTTCAGATGGGCTGAGCTACGCGCGTTAGCAGGTGGCAGGAGCAGTAGTGCCACAGAATAAAGAGATTACCGTGCACTGCAATGTGCACCTACACGCGACACTTATGCACGCACATGCCGAAATACATGTGAAGACACGTGGCGTAGACATTCTCTTTTAGAACAACAGGGAAATATTTGTCTTCGCCATAAACAAACGGAGGGAAAAAAATTGCAAACCAAAACAAAAAAAATCCCGCTTCTCGATAATCATTAGAGGCAATTAAGCAAGTTCCCCAAACAACTCAGACCCCTCGCCCTCCAATCGCTCAATGTACCTGGTTTTTCAAAGGCCCAAGGAAGCCTAGATTCTCTGCCATCCGCTGAGCTTGACTGTCCTTTATCCCTTCAAAAATGTCAATTTGCTCCTAGTGAAAACGAATCAGATAAACACAATTCAGACAGTTGAGTGAGAGGATTTACAACCTCAAAAGAAAATGCTTTGTATTTATTTGCAAATGAGTAATTAAAGTGTGGCACCTTTCCAGAGATCTCTGAGCGGGGGCTACTGCAGATGCCTATAGGGTATGTTTTAATTAGCAGACCATCTATGAAAAACAGCCCTTCCAAAAACTATATAATTCTTCAAGGTGGCACGCTGACAAGACAATCTGATGCCAGGTTTCACTTTTAATTACCATACAGATGGCACTGACGAAAATTTAGTCAGTTAATGTTTATGACATTTTTTGGAAGGCCTCCAAAGCAAGGTTTTCCTGCCTAATATTGTTGTTAAGTTTAGAGCTTGTCATACATAGGTTAACTATTATCTTATGATTTAAACATTCTATTGATGATGATGATTATTAATGACACCATAGCACTACAAAAAAAATGCCATTCTCTCAAAGAACACTGTTCATATACATTATTTCGTGCATTCTTTTAACAAATGGAATGGCTTATTTTAAATAACGTTAATTTTGCAAATGGCTAGGTGTTAGTGGAAAGTCTGTGTGTACAGCCTCAATTTCACTTCCAATGCGGTTAACTTAAATAGGTAACACTGGTGAAAATATTTTAAAACCAACAGAGCAATTCCTCAGAAAATATCGTTTTGTTCAATGTCATTTTGTTAAAACATTGATAAAACTACAACAACAACAACAACAAAAAAAAAAAACGGATTCCTGGCTGGGGCTTATGAAGTTTTGCACGATCTCTCTACATCTGTGTAGGTTTTGTCCCACATCCCAAAGTCTTTCCTGTTAGGCAGATTGGTGCGTCACATGGTCCCAGTGTGAGTGAGTGTGGGGGTGTTTGGGGGTGTCCCTGATATGGGGGGACACCCTGCTCAGGGCTGCTTCGCACCTTGTGCCCTGCGCTGCCAACATAGGCTGGAGTAACTGGATAAATCGTTATCTTGCTTGTTTTTACGAATCCTCCTGAAATTTATTATGTATGGCTTACGTTCATTTCAACGTGTAATATTAGAACTGTTTGGTCTTTATTTAGAAGTTGGGTGATGTTTTTATGGCCAGAAATATGCCACAGGAACTTGACTGCTGTTTATATCAATTAGCCTATAGTAAAATTGGTTTCATTATACGTCGTTTCCATTCAAATCATTTTCCAAGAAGCTGTCAAAAGACGTTAAGTGAATGCTTACTATACATTTTATCTAGACACAGAGATTTAAGAAATAAAGGCTCCCTTTCAAAGAGAAACAAGATCATTTTCTAAAAGAAATGATGAGTGTTCCTGTTAGAAATTTTTCATGTGGTTTTGATACTAAGAACCCAGTTTAAAAACTGGAATTATAGTTCTCAAGACCTTTTATGTCTTTGGCTGATAGTGGAGGCAGGGTAAGAAGCACTTTATACCTATCACCTCATTTAATCTTCACAATTCCACGGGGTACAGATCGCCCCATTTTCATCTTACTGACTCAGGCTTAAAGACTTTGACAGACCTGCTAACCAATTAAATTCGACCTCAGATCTCTCTGACTTGAAACTAATCTTAATATCAATAAAAGGGACATCAATGAAAAGATTCCAAGAACTGAAACAAACTGATCGAATGAATCTGGACCTAAGGAAGATTCTATTTTACAACAGCAGTGTTGAGAGACCTCGAGGCAGTCTGTAGTTCACATCTGGTCTCCTATCGGAGAGAATCTCTCCTGGAGGAGAATTTCCGGTTGGCACGTAATGTTAAACGGGGCAGAGTTAACCACGAGAAAATGGAAATGTGAGTGTCTTCTCACACTGGCTAAATCCCTGGGGCACGTTGGATGGAAAGAAACAACGGGAGAAGAAAAGGATGGAGGAGGAAAGAAGGAAGGGAGGGCAAAGGCAAAGAAAAAAAAAAAAAAAGGCCGCAAAGACTGCCTACCTTGATTGCATCCAACTTTCAACAGGATATTCAGTAAGAAAAAGGACTCGATATCTTTACACCTTAAGTCCCTAAAACAGATTTCCTGCTCCCAGTCTTAGACCCCTCGTTTAAACAGCTAACTGGGCTAACAATCAGGTAAGGCCAGGGGTTTGGACGTACCTTAAAGATAAGTTCTGGGTTCGAGGCGGCCACCTCCTCAATGTCCACGCCGCCCTGGGGGCTGCCCACCAGCACGGGGCCGTTGCAGGACCGGTCCATCAGAATCGCCAGGTAGGTTTCCCTGGCGATGTCCAAGGCCTCGGCAACCATCACCTGCCGTGTGTCAGGGCGAGAGTCAAATCAATTCGGCATCGAGCTGATTTCCACTTGGAAATCTATACAGACTTGCTGTGCAAACCAAAGGGCTTCATTTGCAGGCTCTTCAAGCCCCGCGAGGTAGTTTCCAGAGATCTGAGCGTTCTGTTCCCCCAGTGCATGATGCCTATTGTCACCTGCTTAATTGATCCTGTTAACTTGTTCCAGGGACAGGTATTTGGTCTGCCTCAAGGAACCTTCCCGCTTTAATCTTCTTTTTTCCCCCCACCCCTTGGGAAACCCTGCTGCTTAAGAAAAACTCCAGGGAAGCAGCTGTTATTTTACTTTGCGATATTAACGGTACATACATCTCGCTATGCTGACTGTTGTCAGATTTCACTGGTGGAGAACCAAACTTGATTGCCAAAGAAGGATTCCTTCACACCGTTTACAGTATGCCCGACGCTTCGTATAGTTGTATACTCCTGGTCTCTGGGATCGCTGCCTTTTTATTTCCTTTTATACTTTCTTTTAATTGACAAACACAGTGCTTGCTTTTTCAGAAATTATGCGAAGGACAGCGAAGGTATACAAACGAGAATGTGAAAGCAGCACCCAGCTCCCCACCCACTACCAGATGGCCTTAGCAGTCAGGTGGCCATGAGCCCACTGGAAACTCTGTGATAATTAGAGGAAGGCACCCTTTTCTCCGGAGGACCTGGTCACTTGCCAGGTCCACGAATGGGCAAGGGACAAGTGAGAGGGAAGGATTCCATCCCTTCCCCGAGTGAGTGGGGACCGACGGCCTCAGCCAGGTGCCCTCTCGCACTGCACAACTGTAACTGCAGGAAGCAGCCCCCCCAGGAAAAACCACTACTGACCTTCTAGTCCCTTCTCTCTGTACCTGCATGCATTACAGTCATGGAATCATCCTACACGCGGAAGCCGATTAGACAGACAAGAACCCCTTTCTTCTTCCCTTAACCTCAACACTAAAGCTTGGGCATCTTTTTACTGTCCTTTCTTATCACCATGACTACACAGTGCTTACCTGTAAATACTTATTTAACCATGTTCCTACTGTCATTTGTGTGGACTTCGATTTTTCTAAAATGCTACTTAAGTGGTTACATATCTATCTCTTTGCTTATTTGTTTTGGTATCCCTGTAGATGAAAAACCTGGAAGTTAAATGTCTAGGTTTTAAGCTCTGAATATTTAAAATTTTGATTAAGTACTGCCAAATTGCCCTTTAGAGAGAGGTTGTACCAACTTACACACCAAACAAGAATAGGGAAAGATGTCTTAGATTATTTTTACAAGAAAATAAAAATACTCCCGTAGATAATGGGAGATGTGAAAATAATAAAAGCACTCAGATTGGTTTTCCGAAAAGTAGTTTGGTAATGGGTTTCATAAAAAAAAAAAAAAAGTTAGGAATTAAATTGCATTAGACTTTAGCTACTCAGATGCCACAAAAACACTAAGTGTTAAGTCACATGAAATAAGATAAATATATTCTGTTCTAAAAAGCTATAATGTAATGGATATGGTACTTTCTCTTTTCAAATCTTTATTGAATTTATCATCAGTTAAAAATAATCTATGTTTTCAGCACTTTGGGAAGCCAAGGCGGGAGGAGTGCTTGAGGCCAGGAGTTTGAGACCAGCCTGGGCAATACAGAGAGATCCAATCTCTACAAAAAATACAAAAATTAGCCAAGTGTGGTGGCGCATGCCTGTAGTCCCAGCTATTCAGGAGGCTGAGGCAGGAGGATCACTTGTGCCCAGGAGTCCGAGGTTGCAGTGAGCCATGATGACGCCACTGCATTCTAGCTCTAGCTCAAGCAACAGAGCAAGGCCCTATCTCCAAAAAAAAAAAGAAACAAAGAAAAAAGTCTTATGAGGGTATTCATATTGGTTCTTTTATAATAAATGGAAACTCATGGGTATATGAAAATTATTTCTTGGAATTAATCATAGAGCCATTCTGATTTCAAGTTGGCTGTTCTTTCCAGCAATGCAGGTCAATGAAGGTCAAACCATCAGCCAGTACCTAACTCCCCTCTCAGCCTTCAGGTTGCCCGTAACACAGCCAACCCTCAGAACATCTGCGTGAGAAATGGGAGAACACCTGAGGCAAAAATATTTAGCCCTATTCTTTCCTTGTCAAATACAATAACAACTTGTACTGTATAGAAATGACACGAAGTTCACCTTTATAAGCATCAACACTAATACAAACATTTTTAGAAACTAAGATAACTATTTCTTCTATAAGTTGTGCTAGAGGAGAGAGCTGCTTTAAGAAATGAGGTGGGCAGAAAATACAAAATGAGGAATGTGTTTTTGTTCGTACTTTCAGGTCTAAAAGCATAACTACCCTTCACTTTCTAATACAGAGTTGGTCTGCTGAATGATACTTCGTAACTCCCAGTAGTTATTCTTGGAAGCAACACAACATTATAACTTTTCAGGATAAGTGTTATTCAAGAGTCCTATTCTTAATCTTCCGAAATGTTGGCAGATGTGTTCCGCATTCCATCAAATTTATATTTGTCGAGCCCAGCTGCTGTCTCAAACAGCTCTTGCTTGGTAGGGATAATGTACCACTCTTTAACAAAAACGACTCCCGGAAAAGGATGCTTATCAAGAGATATTTTGAGAAATTTTATACAACAAATACCAGTGTTTTGACATCGTCATGCCAGCCATGTGATCCAAAATGTCACAGTAGTTTAGGAATTGTAATAGAGAGATTTAAATGGATTCCACGAACATTCATGCCATGAGAAGCTCCATTAGATACATTTCAAAAGAGCTACATCCGTGAGTTACACAAAGAATACTATCCACACATCCTTTTTGTGGAATCCTACAGTATAGAAGCTTTTTAACTTTCTTTACCCTAATTGACCACTAAATCTGTTTTTTGTTTTTTAATGAAAATATCACACTACTCAAATCATGGTCTGTAGATCAGAGCTTAGTACATAAACTATTTGCAACAGGACCATGAAGAAATATGATTAAAAGCATACTCTCGATTTTTTAATTCATTTTCTTTGCACAAGTCCTCAGACTATTGAAACTTTGAATTTCAATAAGCATGTGGCATATTTTCCCATATTCCTCCTGCTGAGTACAAATAAAAGCCACGGAAATTACAAACACAAAAAACATAAGATGACTCTGAAAGTTACAGAGAAGGCAGCAGACCAGCTGGGAGCATGATCCAGGGAAGGACAGGGTGGCAAGTACCCTGTGTTTTCTTTTTGCCTCATCAATCTTAGAAAATCTCAGATGTGTGCTTTGTAAAAATTTTTTCCTACGATATGACTTGCATATTTACCTTCTTTGACAGGGTCTTTTGCTGGACAAAAGTGTTTAATTTTGATAAGGCAAAGTATATCAATATTTCCTTTATGGATTGCACCTTTTTTGGTATCAGATCTAAGAACTCTTTCCGTAGCACTAGATGACAAAATTTTTCTCTATTTTTTTCCTTAGATGTTTTACAGTTTTATAAAAACTGTAAGAAACTATCAGGCCTGCATGGTTTCACTAGAGAAGTCTACTAAACATTTAAAAAAAGGAATTAAGACCAGTTAACAATGAATATGTTGGACACTGAAATTAAGACTCCAACTTATAATTGCTAAAACATAAAGAACTATTTAGTAGTAAATTTAACAAAGCTTATACCAAACTTATATGATGAAAACTAAACAAAGCTGATGAAATGAATCAAAGTAGAATTAAAAAAGAAAAAAAAAAAGGAGAGACATATCACATTGATATTCATGGATTCTAAAACTTAACAAATCAAAGATGTCAATTCTTTCTAAATTGATATACAGGTTTAATGAGGTTCCTATCAAAATCTCAGTAAGTTTTTAGTAGAAAAAACAAAATTATTTTAAACTGTTAAGTAACTAAAATAGGTAAAACTGTTTTGAAAAATAATAATAAAGGGAGAAGATTCAGTCCATCCAATTTCAGAACTTATTACATGGCTGTAGTAATTAAAACTCTGTCATACTGGTAGAGAAACCAGACACATAGATCAATGGAAGAGAATAGAGAACCCAAAAACAGAGCCCTACAAGTGTGCCCAGCTGATTTTTGACAAAGGTGTATAAACAATTCAATGGAGGAAATATGAGCCTTTTCCAAAAATGGTGCAGGAGCAAGTGAATTTCATAGCCACCTCCCTTCCCCAAAAAAGCCTCAACCTAAGTCTCTCACCTTATTCAAAGTTAACTCAACATGGATCACAGACCCAAATATTAAAACACGAAATAAAACATCTAGAAAAAATAGGAAAAATTTGTTATCTAGTGCTAGTAAGAATTCTTACACCTGATAGCAAAAAAAAAAAAAAAAATCCATAAAGGAAATACTGACATATTGTTCTTTATCAAAATTAAACATTTTTGCTCTACAAAAGACCTGTTAGAAGATAAATATGAAAATTATAGTGGGAAAAATATTTACAAAGCACGCATCTGGCAATGGACTAGTATTTAGAATTAACTCTCAAAACAGTAAAATAATCTAATTCAAAATGGGCAAAAAAAAAAAAAAAAAAACAAAACATTTTTTTGTCTATTTGTTGCCTATAACCAAATATCTGAGACTGGGTAACTTATAAAAATTATTTTCTCACAGTTCTGGAGTCTGGGAAGTCCAAGACCGAATGCGGCATTCGGCGTCTGGTTAGGCTGCTTCTTGCTGTGCTCTCATGTGGCAGGACAAAAAGGCCCTAAGCTAGTTCCCTCCAGCCCTTTTATATAAGGCTAATCCATCATGGAGTGGAGACTTCATGACTTTATCATTTCCCCGAAACTTTACCTCTCAATTCCCCACAAGAGGGATATTAGTTCAACACAAATTCTGCAGAGGACATTCAGACACAACCTCCATGAACGGAGAATTCACCAAAGACAATCTACAGATGGAAATCGCACATGAAGAGATGTTCAGCATCTTCGGTCACTAGGAAATGCAATCAAAACCACGATGAAATATCACTACACATCTAACAGAATGGCTGAAATAGAAAATACCACCACCACCAAATGCTGGCTAGGATGTGGAGAACCTCAGTCACTCAGACACTGCTGATGGCAATATAAAATAGCACAGCCACTCTGACAAATATTTGGCAGTTTCTTAAAAACTAATCATACAACCTCCAATAACCCAACAATTATCCCCCAAAATGGAAATCTATATTCACACCAAAACCTGTTCATGAATGCTTAGAGTACCTTTATTTGCAATAGCCTGAAACGAAACAACCCACATATCTTTCAGTGGACGGTGGTTAAACAAACTGTGGTGCTTCCACATCACAGAGTGTAAGAGAAAGGAACAAACTACTGATAAACAACAGCAACCTCAATGAGTCTCTAGAAAATTATGCTGAATAAGAAAAAGCCCACCCCCAAAAGGTCTATACACTATATGACTTAGTTTACATAACATTCTAGAAATGTCTGTGCCCCCCTCAAAATTCATAGGTTGTAACCCAATGCTCAATGGGATGATATTTGGAGGTGGAGTGATACTTGTGGGGAGTGATTAGATCACGAGGGTGAATCCACGAATGGGATTCGTGCCCTTATAAAGGGGAACCCAGAGAGCTCCCTCACCCTTCCCACCATGTGGAGACTCAGCAAAAACTTGGCCCTCTAAGAGCCAGAAAGCAGGTGCTCACCAGACATGGCATCTGCTGGTGTTTTGATCTTGGACTTCCTAGCCTCCAGAAGTGTGAGAAATAAATTTGGGTTTTTTATAAGATAACGAGACTATGGTATTCTGTTATAGCAGCCTGAATGGACTAAGACACAGGTATCAAATGTTTACTATGTTAGGTATGCAGGCATGTATTCATTTATGTAATCTATCTTGCAGGTTATTATTATTATTACACCCATTTGAAAGTGAGGGATAAGCTATTAAATGTTGGAACACCATTAAATGTAATATTAAAAAGAAAACAAAAAGTTCCACCTGAAAACTTCATTGCTATATCCCAGAATCCAGCACCATGCTTGGTGCATAAAGGAAGCCCAAGACATACTCCTTAAACACATAAATCTAGGCAGGCTCCCACACTTCCTGTGTATCATTAAAGTTTATCATTGCTCTACTGCGTTCCATGGTAAATACTAAATGATAACTTTAATCCCTGACTCCAGCTTAGTTCCTGATCTTCTGCAACCCCTGATGAATCAGTGAAGATTCACTGGCCACCAAATATCCTGGAAAACAGAAAACCTGGATCAAGCTGTTATTTTTTGCTGAGACCCTATGAAACACTCTCTGTTTGCCCATCTTGAAAGGAAAGACACAGCCATTGTGAACCTGAAGCCTTTTTCATGCATCAGAGTATTCAGAATACACGCTGCCACGCTGTCCTGAAAACCCAAGACTAATGTCCATTAAATGGGGGATTGGTTAAATACAAATCATGATATACTCGTTCCCTGGAACATTATGCCACCATCAAAAGAGAAGAGATAAAACCGTATGTACTGACATGGAAAAGGTGTCCAATATTTCAAAAGCTAAAAAAAAAAAAAAAATTGCACGGTCCTTAAAGAACCATGAATATAATATGTCCACATAAAACAATGAATTCCTGTAAGCAAAAATAGTAATCTTGTCCTATGTGGACAAATTTTGAGTAAATTACAACACAGGCAAAGGCCCACAGCCAGATTTAAAAGGGAAGTAAAAGTAGTGTCGTATGCTGAACAGGAACAAATTAACAAAATGAAACACTTCTGAGTTTTAAGCAGTTCTTTGGCCTACCTGAGAGGCAGCAGGCAAGGGAAATAACCTGTTTGCTCCCTGAACAGTTAGAAAGCCTTTGTGTTCTTAGCCTGATGGAGCCAATGACCCATCAGTATTTCAATCTCCCTCCAGCTCAGGGTCGTTTTCTGGGCTAGAACAGACCCTCTAATGATACACTAAGAACTAGCTGGTGGTTTCTTAGGTCATGGCAAGAATTTTTCACAAAACTCTCTCTGAAAAGTCCAAAGAATATACTGCCTTAATGTCCCCGAGCATGGTCCACTGGTAGGGACCATCAATGTGTGATGCTATGCCCACGGAGCAGCTAGTTGCCTCCCCAAATACGGGGCCCTAATTCACTGCCAGGGCAGGGCCTTCTGATCATAAGTACTTCCCAGGGCTGGTACCGTGATCTGTGCAGTCACACAGGGCCACACGCCCAGACGGGTCCCGCTCCTGACTTCACGTTCTGCTACTGCTGTCTTCAAACGTGAACCAGGGTCCCTTCCTCTTTATTTTGCACTGGATGCTGCAAATCAGGCAGGTGGTTTTGGTGCACCTCGATACATGAGGGGGCTAATAGCAAAAGGAGAACAGACTGGCAGAGGGAGAGAGTTGGTTTCTGATCTCAGCTCTGCGACCACCGCCTTTCGCCTGCGCTTTCCACTGCGCTTCTTCACGTCTACTGGTGCGTGCGTGTGTGTGGTGGCATGTCGAGCCCACCACGTTCGCTGCTATCCATCTTGAGCCGCCACTAAGCACCACCCTCTCAAGAAGTGTGGCTCACAACGCAGTAAGTGTTCAAATCCGGATAGAGGCACTTAGAAACACCGACCCAACAGCCTAATTCTGATAGACAGGCTGGGAGTAGGGGCGCGAATGCCGTGGGCGATGTGGCGGAAGTTCCCTCCCTGAGTGTAAGAGGCTGTCGCCGCAAGCCGCCTTTTCAGCTTAACGGTGTTAGAGGCAAGGACCCCCAAAGCCCCTCAACCTCCCCTATGATCGTCCCTACGCGCACGGGCTCTCGCCCTAGACGAATTCCAGCTATAGCTCCCAGAAGAATGCTTCCCTGACGTGCTGACCACAGCGGCATGCCTCCAGGGAGTGCTGACTGCGCCAATTGTTCCCGAGCCACCTTGCCCAGGTTCTGGGGATGAGTAGGACCTGTCAAAACAGCGATACAGATAGCGCTGATTGGGGCTATTAACCCCACCCAAGCCTCATCGTCACCACTCTTTGTTTCTGTTTCTACTTCCCTTCTTCTTCTCCTTCTGCGCTTATAAACACCTACTAACCCCAAGTAAAGCAGACCTGACAACCTTTTGCTTGGTCTCGTTCTTCTCTCCCTCGCCCATTACCTTTTCAGGCACGGTCCCTTGACCCACGAGTAACCGAAGGGTCCCGCCGGGTCGGGACAAAAGGAATGAATCTCTATTCTGAAAGGGAACGCCCTGCTTTGGTCATGCTCACCCCCCTCCCACCTTCCACTAAACACCATGACCTAACAATAATACTTCCTGTTTTACGAACCTTCTATTTCTCCAAAGACTGCCACTTAAGTTAGAACAGATTATATGAGGCCGTCAAAAAACAAAACATGCACACCGCCGAAGATCACTGGAGTCTGTCCAACACTGAAGGATGGTCTTTCTTTTCTTTCCTTTTTTTTTTTTTTTTTAACACATACAAAATGACCGAAAAGCATCTACATTACCTTGTGAACCTTCACACCTTCTTTCGGAGTTTGTTTGGTTGCTAGATTATATCCAATCATCTGTTTGGCCAGCTGTCCCACGACGTGAGGACTAAGAGGGAGACAGAGAAAACAAAAAGAGAGAGAGAGAAAAAGAGAAAAGAAAAATCAATGGCTGTTGGAAATCGTTTTAAAGCAGAGAGTCGATAGATCCTCGTGTCCACACTGCACAGGGTCCACGCCCACCCTCGGGAATCCGGGGGTCTTTCTGTTCACCTGTGCCCAGCACCGTGCTAGGGGCTCACCAGGAGCAAAGGAAAATGAGCGAACGAATGAATGAAATGAAGGGTGCTTGCTGAGCCCTGCCACCTTGTGTCCCCCCCGATTAAGTCACAGTCACAGTAAAGAGACAAGGCAGAAATGCACGTGAGATTTAGACAAGGCTCGGGTAAAGACTTGAGAGTGGACAATTCGGGAAGTGCTGAACAAGGAGAGGGATAAAGGAAGAGGGTGAAGCTCAAAGTGGACGATGGAAGGCTACTGACAGGAACGGGAAGGAAAGCGCTCGGCGCTGGGAGACGGGGTTGCAAAGACGGGCTCGGATACAGGAAGCCTGGGACTACCCGGAGTGGGAGCCCCTGCACGTTCTGCAACAGGGGAGTGACCTTACAGGAGTAGCCTTTCTTGTGCAAGCGGGGCCATTTCCAGCATTTACGATGAATCATCGATTGGCCAGGAGAGAAGGGCTGTGGAGTTGCCACCAATTAGTGAAGAAGAATCTTCACCTTGGCTCTGCCAGAGCCCTCTGCCTACAATGGCAGCTTCCTCTGGTTTCTATGGCTTGCTCCTGTCCCCCAACCCAAGCAGCCTTCTCCACCTGCCTTTCAATTGTGAGCAAGACCTTCCTCACTGCTCGAGCCCAAAGACAAGGAATTAAAACCCCCAGACTTACTCTTTTGTTAAGTGAACACCTCCTTTCAAACCGCTATTGAAGACACCTTTTCCTCTTCCTCCTGCTAAGATCTGGGCTTTTAAAACAATTTCTTTTGCATCTGAAAAAGAAAAATCCAGAATTGGTAGCTGATTTTAAATTCATTCTTTCTTCCTCTCCCTCCCTTCTTTCCTTTCCTCCCTCCCTTCCTTGGCAACAAGGAAAGCAATAATGACTTTTAACTTCCAAGTGACTGGTATAAACTCTAACTTTGAAAATAAAGGCAATAAAGAACTTTAAAACCGGCCGGGCGCGGTGGCTCACGCCTGTCATCCTAGCGCTCTGGAGCCGAGGCGGGAGGATTGCTCGACAGGTCAGGAGTTCGAAACCAGCCTGAGCAAGAGCGAGACCCGTCTCTACTATAATAAAAGAAATAATTGGCCAACTAATATATATAGAAAAAATTAGCGGGCTCGGTGGCGCATGCCTGTAGTCCCAGCTACTCGGGAGGCTGAGGCAGGAGGATCGCTTGAGCCCAGGAGTTGGAGGTTGCTGTGAGCGAGGCTGACGCACGGCATCACTCTAGCCTGGGCACAAACAGAGTGAGACTCTGTCTCAAAGAAAAAAAAAAAAACAAGAACTTTAAAACCATCAATGTGCATAAATACAAAGCTTGTTTCCCTAGCACATTCACATGTGTCCTAGCAGTTTAATCAGCTAACACTCAGCCATCCGAAGGGAATGCAAGGCCTGTTGTTTTCTTGCTCTTTTCGGTGTGCCGGAAGACACTAAGTAAATACCGGAGGAGGTATTAATTTTGCTGTGTAACGACACAAGGTTCTAGCCTGTCAGTCAGAGGAGCTAACTACCTGTCAGCCATAGGAGATGTCAAAGGGAAGACTGGATTATGTGGGGGGAAGCTTTCAAGCAAGCTACAAAAGCCTGATTTAATAAGCGTGTTCTTAAAAACCAACAGTCCTCTGAGCACTTGTGCTACATATTGACAGGGTTGGGCAAGGGAGGACGAAATGAAATTAAAACTAAGAGCGAGCAATATTTTTAAGTATTGGCAAGGTAACAAAATATCCCGGGGGGAAGGGGGTTGTGCATCTTTGTTTCTCTGCACACTGCAAGGAAAAGAGGAAAATTTCGACCTTTTAGACCTGAGTTATAAGGTCAAATATCTTTATGGGCCTTGCAGGAAAGTTGAGTGTGTAAAATAGCCCAGAGATACACAGGACCTTTAGCAAACGGCAGAGCTCCCCTCTCCAAACCCCCCGACCCCCAACAAAGCAGCAGCCTCCAAATCTGTTTAATAAACTAAACAGCACACATCTGCAAGCCACAGCTGGGTCCTCTGTCTGTGAGTCATCTTCGTTGAAAATCACAGAAACAAATCAAACCATCTTCCTCTATGTCAACGGAAAAAAGCCAAAGTCTGCAAAATAATTTTACAGAGATTTATTCTGAGCCGGATTTGAGGACCATGACCCGGAGCCACTGCCAAGAGGCCTTGGGCAAGTGGACTCGCTGTGGCCGGGTCACAGTTTGGTTTTTACACATTTTGGAGACAAGGGTTACGGCTAAAGCCATCCATCAGTGTGTGGGAGGCGTACACATTGGTTTGGCCCAAAAAGGAGGGCCATCTCGAAGCAGGGGGGCTTCCGGGTTATAGGTGGGTTTAAAGATTCTTTAGATTGTAATTGGCTAAAGACACGAAGCTTTGTGTAAAGACCTGGAATGTTTTAACATAAACTGTTTACCAGAGATAAACCACCATTTGTTGCATAAATTGAGGGCCTGAAGGTTTGTCTTGCATACCCTTAGGCCTGTTAATGGGTTCCAAAGGAAGACTCCAAGAAGGGAGGGGGGCATGATGAGGCCTGTCTGACCTCCCTCCTCCTGGCAGGCAACTTTGCCCTAGAATATTCCTTTGGCCACGAGGGGGTCCATTGAGTCAGCCGGTGGGGGTTGAGCATTTTAGTTCACATCTATAAGGCTATCATGGTTTCCTAGTTCAGCACACCAGGCTCAGAATCCACAGACCCTGGTTTCAATCCAGCCTTCCTCCCCCACCCGGCCAGCTGTGTGACATCAGGCAAAGTACTTAACGTCTCTGAGACTCCGTTCGCTCAATTGTGAAATGATGATAAGCGTTGTTTTTAAAATTAAATGAAATACAGGTGAATGTTTCATCGCGGAGCCAGAAAATTCATATGATTAGAGACTATCGCCTCAATCAAACAGTTAATGTATTACTTTGTATATAACCAGAATATATAGAATCAAAAGGATCATTTCAGAGATGGCAAAAAAAAAAAAAAAAAAAGCTAATATTTGTTAGTATCTGCCACCACTCGTGGTAGGCAGGAGCTCCTAAGTGTTGACTATTTTATTAAATAGTTATTACTGTCTTTGTTGTTGTTGTTACTCATAGGTAAATAGGCGAAGGTTCAAACAAAAGAGTTTTATCATGAAGAGGGAGCTGCAGAAGGGTTTTAACTAGGAAGGCATTGAGCCAGACAGCCACCCAGCTGATGCTGTGAAGCCATTAAGGCTCCTTCATTGTCATCATTTGTTGATCTTCCTTTCTCCTGTTTTTGCTTATACTCAGAGAGCTGGGGCTCACCTTCCTCTCAAAAGCAAACACAGTTCCTCCTTAGGAGTTTATGCCCTATGACAATACTTTCTGTCCTAGCTGTGAACTATCCCAACATCAGTGAAACCCTGTCTTACACTAGTAAACCGGTTCCCACTGAGCTGGGTACAAGACAAGCTAATTACCAGAGAGACTCATCAGGAAAGGAACCGGGTAGAAGGAATTTACTGCATGTTTAGGCAGGTAAGAACAGCGGTAAGAGCAAGGATATTGGAGTTAAACAGACCTTGTTAAAATCTCCAACCCCACTTAGTACTTTCTTTGTAGAGAAGGGACTGAGACTCATTCAGAAAGGTAAAAATAGCAGGCCCTTCTGTCACGTGTTCATAGTAAAGTTATCTACAGTGTCATGATGATACGAAGAATAAATGAAATGTAGGTAAAGCACCTGGCATTATTCCTTAAAAAGTCAAAATATGGGCCGGGCGCAGTGGCTCACGCCTGTAATCCTAGCTCTCTGGGAGGCCGAGGCGGGTGGATTGCTCGAGGTCAGGAGTTCGAAACCAACCTGAGCAAGAGCAAGACCCCGTCTCTACTATAAATACAAAGAAATTAATTGGCCAACTACTATATATAGAAAAAATTAGCCTGGCATGGTGGCGCATGCCTGTAGTCCCAGCTACTCGGGAGGGAGGCTGAGGCAGGAGGATCGCTTGAGCCCAGGAGTTTGAGGTTGCTGTGAGCGAGGCTGTTGCCACGGCACTCACTCTAGCCCGGGCAACAGAGTGAGACTCTGTCTCAAAAAAAAAAAAAAAAAGTCAAAATATGATACCTATCATCATTTTCATGATTTTTAGAAATTATTTTCTAAGAGTGATATATATAGGAAGACATTTCCTATTTGTCTTTTGAAGACATCAAGTGGAAAAAATACTTTTTGCTGTCCGGTCAGATTTTTAATTGTGATCACTTCAAATTATTTTTAAAAACATAAGCCAGCATTCCATGGCCACCATCATTTTCCATAGCCTTGTCTTCCAGAAGAAAAAGATGCTTCCCTCTCCGAGCTTTCTAGCAGCAAAGCTTGAAAGCCAGACAGAATACCTAATTGTGCATTGTTAATTGGCACTACAGAGCCTTGATGAGATCAGCTCCAGTCACGAACCGCCAAGACGAGGAAACAGCTGTAGCCTCAAAGAAGTGCTGTCAATTACACACCTTGCTATTTGACCTCTCCTCAAAAAACACTCCATGCCACTTGGTTGGTAGGCCAGGGCACTACTTAGGAAACTGTGAAGTCATGTAGCGGGACAAATCGGAAAAGACTACCCAATCTATGAACAGCAGCTGCAATTTATACCCCAGGCTACAAATGAGCTCGCTAAAATCATCTTTTCTGATTAGATCTCAAGCACTAAATCAATAAAGCAGGTCAGCAGTCCAAAGTAAAGCAAGTTTTCCTCATCTTGAGGGAAATTCTCACAAAGTAATTTAATTCAATGATTATTTGCTCAAGGTGCTGAGAATTAACTAAAGTGGCCAAATCCTACTCAACAGTAGCTAGTCTCTTCATTCCATATTTACCAAGTGGATTCACACTTACTTAATGTCACTCTATTTTATTTAAAGATCTGATTTCTACAAAAACTCACATAAGTTTGTTTAGTTTTTTTATTTTTACGCATTACCTCCTGCCCCTGTTCCCAAACAGAATTACAGAAGAATATCCTATACATTAAATCCAAATAAAAAGAGAAAGAGAATAAAAAAAAAAACCTATTCTAATATTTTGTACAGAAATAGATAGCAACCTAGACATTGAAAATCATATTGCTGGACTCTTGTGTTAGCATAACTCAGGTCTGTATAACTCCAAACTCCATGCTCTTAACTGCTACTTGTGCATTCTGTACCCTAAGTATGCAAAACATTCACTATATTTTATTCTTTTCCTGGTGAGCTTCTGAACAGTACTCATGGCTAGGTTTCCACTCAGTCTGATAGAAACCAGATTATTATAATTTATATATATTTTGTTACAAAACACAATAAGATATATTTGATAAACTTATAAATATATGAGACTCTCAAATACCATATCATTTATGAGAACAATATTTAGAGCCACTTAGAAAGCTTAAACAAAGCCCCACTCCAGGGTCTTGTGTCACTCTATTAGCTGAATTAAAACAATGCTTGTGCAAATGTTTTCCTCTCATTCTTCACCAAAAGGCATGATTCTAATTGTAATAAAGTTTTATACCAATTTATATAGTCCCCCCTATTGTGACATGCTGGATAATAAATGTTCTTGGAAGCATTGTTAAATCTAAAGGGGAAAAAAAATCAATTCATTAAGCAAAGCACAACCTAAATATTACAGAACAAATGAGAAACATTTTTAATTAGGCAAGCTTTGTAAAAGTGGTTCACTTCATTTTGTAAGAGATGGCATTCTGTAAATATATTAAATACAAAATAGTGTTCGTGAGACATAGCTCAGAACCATAATGGGGACAACCACATTAAATGTCTGAAAATGTTAATCTA